GACCCAATTCCGGCCGTGGTCGAGGGCGAGGACGATGTGGTATTTCTAAACCACAACACTCGACCAAATGAGTATGCCATATATATGGAATGGGAAACCATTGGGCTAAGATATGTAGGGCTTCCAAACATCATTGTGACCTCTATCAAGAGAGTGTAAAAGGGAAGAATCCTAAAGCCCATTTGGTATATAAAGATGGTGAACATGATCAAGATGATCTAATAGAGTATGAAACTTCTGATTGCATAAAAGAATCAAGTTAATAAATCTTACTTCGACATCAAAACCTCTATGTTATTCTTTGCATTTTATGTGTTCATTGATTGTTATTTGCTTGAATTTATTTTATATTATTTTATATTCAGAACATGATTCTTGTCCATATAAGAAATGGCCGAGGACAAGAACATATTTGTGGATAATGGAGCCACACAAAAGACAAGAGATATTTTCCTAAATCTCATAATAAAAATGCCAATATTAGCACCATAGCGGGTATAGCTAGTCTTATTGAGGGCCACGGTCAAGCCCATATACTTTTATCAAAGGGCACGCATCTTGAACTAAGCGATGCCTTGTATTCACCCAGCTCAAAAGGAGCTTATTGAGTTTTAAAGATATAAGATTGGATGGTTTCCATATTTAAACAAAGGGTGAAGGGAACAAAGAATTCCTAAATATAATTGAGATCACCAAAGGACATAAGAAAGTCCTAGAGACTATACCCGCATTATCCACTGGTCTCTACTATGCTAAAATCGATATGATCGAAGCTAATATGGCAATGAACAAAAATTTCATCGAGAAATTCACTTTATGGCATGACCGGCTTGGCCATCCGGGTCAGAATATGATGCGTAAATTAATGACTAATTCAAAGGGGCACACCCTAAGAGAGAAAAGAGTTATCCCTAAGAATCTCACGTGTGAAGCATGTTCACAAGGGAAACTCATTATAAGGCCATCACCGGCTAAGGTAAATAAAGAGACCTTAAATTTTCTGGAAAGGATACAAGGAGATATATGTGGACCAATACACCCACCATGTGGGACGTTTAGATACTTTATGGTCCTCATTGACGCATCGACAAGATGGTCGCATGTTTGTCTCCTATCTCCTAGAAACCAAGCGTTTGCTAGGTTATTGGCCCAGATAATAAGACTGCGAGCCCATTTTCCAGATTTTCCGCTTAAGACTATACGTCTAGACAATGCCGGTGAATTCACGTCCCAAGCGTTTAATGACTACTGTATGTCCATGGGGGTAAGTGTGGAACATCCCGTGGCACATGTACATACTCAGAACGGATTAGCGGAATCCTTCATTAAACGAATTCAATTGATAGCTCGACCATTACTCATGAGGTCGAAGCTTCCAGTAGCCGCTTGGGGACACGCTGTTTTACATGCATCAGAACTTATACGCATAAGGCCATCTAGTGAACATAGATATTCACCATCCCAATTACTCATGGGTCACGAGCCAGACATATCCCATCTAAAGACTTTCGGGTGTGCCGTATATGTACCGATTGCTCCACCACATAGAACAAAGATGGGACCTCAAAGGAGGATGGGAATATATGTTGGATTTGATTCTCCCACCATTATTAAGTATCTAGAGCCAACTACGGGTGATCTATTTAAGGCTAGATACGCGGATTGTCATTTTAATGAATCCGAATTTCCTACTTTAGGTGGAGAGACGAACAAGCTGGGTAAAGATATAAAAGAAATATCATGGAATCAAACATCCTTGAATTGGCAAGATCCTCGGACTCTGGCATGTGAATCAGAGGT